GATATTGTGGTTGTATCGGTTGTAACTTTTGTAATTGAGTATGACGCTTGTTTATCTTACCATTACCGTTATTATTTTTTTTATCATCGTTTTTTGCTAGGACAGGAGGAACAATTAGATTTTTTGGTTTGGGTAGATAGTAGACAGATATCTCTTCATCTTCATCAACGTCGTTGTCGACACTATTATTATTACTATAACTACTACGACGGATACTCTGGGTACTATTTACTCTTGAGTTCCTTGCGGTTCTTTGCCTTATGAATATAGCACTATTTTCAGGTGGCTCAGCATTAATATTATCAAGATCTTCTTTTAAAGCTCTTGCCAATTGAAGTCTTGAAAGTATAACAGGATCTTGAGTTCCTACACTCATATTTTAATTTTAATTTAAATTTTTTTTAAAAAGAATATGTTAGGAGTGAATTGTGTGAATTTTGTTGTGTGTGGGTATTTTTTTTTTTGTTGTTGGAAAATGTAGAATTATTTTCCAGCCTTTTTTTGGGTGTTATACGGAAAATTTAATTTAATTATTTTCCTCTATATATCGTTATATATGTTTAACGATAAAAAAGTTCATGAACTAAGTATTGTTTAAATTTGGGATTAACTTTTTATTTAGGATTAGCCTCGTTTTAGAAAAAACTATTTGTTTTTTTTTTTTATTGTTGAGTTATAAATAAATCGTAGTTGGCCGAGTTGCTATTATATTTATTATCAAGTATAAAAATAAGTTCATGTGCGAAGTTGAATGGTATGATTTTTATTATTATTACGATATAGACGCGCGCGTGTGCGTGCGTGCATACAATTATTATCAGTATTATCAATTATTATTAAAAAAGTTAGGAGTGTGAGTGTGAGTGTAGTTCTATTACTATATTAATATACTTGGGAGGGGAGATAACAAATGGGGTCATGATGACTAAATTTTAATCCCTGAAATTTTTGGTAATACAAATGTTCACTTTTCCGGTAATAGAAAATTATTTTATTGTGAAACCAACCATTTTAAAAATTTAAAAAATATACACACACATCTAAGGATATGTTTTGTGCTAAGAGAATT